TGTAATCCGAAGTTGACATTAGGGACCCCCAAAGAAGGTATCCCTAATTTTGGGAGAATCCCACATGGTGCTCTAAATTGTTTCCCCAGCTTTAGGGTCCTAAGCCCCAAGCCACAAGCACTTAACATTAAATCCGAAACCCCCGACCCTAATCTAGGCAAAGTCCCGGATGGCCTGAGCCCATCTTGCGTGTTGGTAGGTAGGGAATGAAGGTATGGAAAAGAAAGTGGAAACCTCCATTCCCTCCCATTGGGTTTAGGGTTTGGGGTTTTGGGGTTAACCCTACATGAGCCATAGTCTAAACTCCTTAAAGGGGGGTTATATAGGGGATTATATAGGGGACTACTACAGGGGTTTTTAAGGGGGATACTAGGAGTTTAGACAGTAGCTCACATAGTAGCTTTCATTTTGTCTTCCATGCGCTACTAACAACCAGAAAGTCTTGGAGTCTTGCTACGTTCCCCCCCAAGTGACTGCGAGCCTGCAAGGGCACTGTATGTAGAGCGAGATCTTACGAACAGGTTTTAAGGTTTATGGTTGAGTCTAGAGTTGGCTGTTCTGGGACACGAAGCCTGCTGCTTGACAGTTTTGTCCCTAAACCTTAACCCCCAAACCAGTTTTCGTCAGTTGGGTGCAGAACATTGGGCCGAGGCTCAAAGACTGACAAGGGCACCACCTCGTTCGCGAATAAAACGATGCAGCCCAGCACCACTGTAGGGGATTGGGGGGTGTTTGTGTTTGACTGGTTGCTACTTGGAGGGTCAGGGGGGACGTGGATAAAAAGGCTTACTGCATGGATTATAGGGGTTACTAACCTACTTACGCAGCCCCCTGACCCTCCAAGACTATACGTATTTAGGGACCCAAAATGTATGGGCAATCTCCTTTCTGGTCACTATTAGTGGGTGGGGGCCCAAACCTAAAGAATCAGTGTCGAAGTTCTGTAGTCCTACTTTGGCCTTCCTGAGCAATTGTGAAGTGCTGTTGCAGTATCACCCTACTAAATAGAACAGACCACTAAATGTTTCCTACTATGGCATCTGCTTTCATGAAACCCTGCAACATGCTAAATTTCTAGTAGACTGCATATTATGTTAGTTTTCATTCAAGTCTAGTCCTACGGCAGCAGTGCTGTAACCCTAAACCCTAAACTGTGTGGGTCCGGAGATATGGCTTGAAGATAGGAGTTGGCATGACTTCAGTGCTTTCAAGACGCGTTCATGTGCATGGGGTTATAAGGGTTGTATTGGGGTATATAAGGGTTATATAGGGGTATTCAGGGGTTGTGACATGTTTGAAGAGTTCAAGTTGCAACAAGTGATGCGCCTTCAACTTCCCAAGCGCCGGCAGTTTTCTGGTGCTCAGCTCAGGTACATCAAAAGCAACCCTCATTTTGAGACATCCTCCCCGTTCTACGAAGCCTCGAAACGCTCACCTCGCCTCGACTCGAGACCCTAAACCCTGCACTCCTGCAAATGAGCCATAGACTAAACTCCATAAAGGGGGTTATATTGGAACTACTGCAGGGCTTATCTAGGGGATGCCAGGAGTTTGGACTATAGCTCAAATGAACATAGAGGCCCAAAAAGGGACATACAAAGACTACCGTCCTTAGAAAAACGGACCATGTCACCTTGCGTGTTTGTTTTGGGTCAGGGTAAGCCATGATGAAAGCTTAGTCGCCCCACTCTGAGCCGTAAACCCTGAGCCTTAAATTCTAAACCCTTAACCCTGAACCCCTGAACCCTTAACCATTCGCCCTAAATCCTTAACCCTAAATCCTTAACCTTAAATTCTTAACCCTAAACCTTGAACCCCAAACCCTAAACTGCGTGGCCGACGCCGGCGCTTAGGCAGAAGTTCGGAGACACCGATGTGGACATTGCCCAGTGCGGCATTGGCTACACATGCCGAAAGGGCTTGAAGCCAGAAAGTCCCAACCAGGACCTGTTTTTATACCATAATTGGGGTTCCCTTACAAGGGATATTGGGCGTCATATTGAGTTTAGGGAGATTAGTAATGCATTTGGGTAGTATTTTATGTAGGGTTTAGGGCCTATGGATCCCAATATGAGTAAGATTGTATCCTCCTTTGGGGTATAGTATTTTGCATATAGATTCTAATCTTACGTGGTTCAGCCACAAAAAATGCGACTAATTTGTTGTGCTCCCAAGTCCCATGGAAAGCCAAAGGGGATTGAATACAGCTGCAGAAGATCATATTTGAAAGCTGTTGTGACTTCGACTCGTTTTGTTTCAAGAAGGATTGTCCAGGTAAATATGCAGGTTTCTACAAACAGCGGGCTCCAAAATATGGACCCCAATATCCTACAATTATGGTAAGGACTCCAAAAAAACGGACCCCATGTTTTGGAAGCCCGCATGTGTACATCCAGCACCAAATTAGACAGTGGCCCTCTCAATATCATGGGCTTGGCATGGATTTATCTTCCATGAACCCTAAACCCTAAACCACGTGGTTATCTCGCTCTCATCCTTAGGTCTCTCCGTCATCTATGGTCCTGCCCTGCTTTTGGGCTTAGGCATGTGGATTTGATAGGGTTTAGGGTTTAGGGTTTAGGGTTTAGGGCTAAGTTTAGGGTTTAGGGTTTAGGGTTCTGGCTTGTTCGGACCCCAAACCTTTAACCCTATTCTGGGCTTGATGCTTGCCACTATAGTCACTAGAGGTTTGCGGCTTGAGATTTGCAACATCAAGTAGGTGCTTCGCAATATCTGCCTGCTATAACCCTTTCTGGGTACTTCCATGACTAGCTTGTAACCCCCCAAAATATCCCCAGCGTTTGTAGGGTACCCCTGCTAAAAAACTCCCGGTACGCATGCTCTTACTTAGATAAGTCTACCTACTGTCCTCGATAAACCCGTTGCGGTACGCCCCACAACAGCAAATAGATACTGTGTAGACTTGCCAAGTCAAGAGAACCTCCAAGTAAACTTAACCCCAAACTCTAAACCCTAAACCCTAAACTCCATACTCCAGACCCTAAATGATAACCCCTGTTCTACTTCGCCCTTACGTGTTGTGGAGCCTTGCCTTCATCATGCATGATGTTGATAGACGAGATCCTGTCTGACCCTACCCTCCCCAAAACTAACCTGGGTTGCTGTTAAGAAGTTTATATTAAGTTACCATAATATGGGCATATAGTCAACAATATGGTTTTGTAATACCTTAATTGAAGTTCCTTAACAGCAGCCCAGTAACATGGAACACCATGTAGCCCCCTCTTGGAGAGCAATAGTTTATCTAGTTTCGGGACGGTATATACCCTAACCCTATTAGGGGTTACTGGGAGTTATTGTCGCATGGAGTCTTAGGGTCATGCAAGCTTCTGCCCAAACCGCAACGCCAATCCTAAAGGACTCCTGGTTCGTTCTCAAGATGGAGAATTTCTCGCTCTACGGCGTTTTTGATGGCCATGGACAGAAGGGACATGACGTGTCAAATTTCGCGATGGACATGTTGCCGAAGTGCATCATCAAGGACAATAAGGGTCAAAGAGCAGAGCCGGGATCTTTGGTTTGGGGTTTAGTGTTGCTGGGGGACAGACCCTCTAAGAACCCTATGAGTTTCCTGATAATTCCCTCCATAATGAGTCCTTCTTAGGGATTCTATCCGACTTTAAGGTCCCCTAGGAGTCGACCTATTGCTTGTCATGACCAGGCTGATGATCAGGTTGGTTCATGTACTTGTCCCTAAACCCTAAACAGCTGTGGTGGAACAGAGGCGCCAATTAGAAAACTTAATTCCTCGGCGGGAGCAGTATCGTGTTGCTATACGTCCATGATGTGTTGTCAAAGGCGAGCGTACATCAAAGTGAAGCATTTTTAGCACTACAGTTGTTTGATGCGGTAGTATCCCAAAATTGGGGAACCCAATATAGACTCCCAAATGCCCACCCATGTAAAAGAACCCGATGCACCTTGATCCCGCATCCTCATTAGAGACGGAAAAGCCTTCCAAATTTGGAAGGTATATCATCGTGCGAAAATGACCACAATTGGCAAAATCACAGTCATTTGCTCTCATTACCATTCATATCATCATGATGTGTGCTTTTTCCGTGATGCCGAGTATGCGCAGAAGTTATTTCTTAACAATCCAGATCCAAAGGACGAAAGGTGCTTTTCCACCGAGAAGAGAGATTGGGGTCCCATTCTGAGTGATGCGTGCCTGGGCTTTGATCTTGGGGTTCAAAGCTTCAGGTTTTGTAATTTCATACTTTGATGATTTAGGGTCTGGCCGTAAAAGCCGAACTCTAAGCAATCAACCTCGTAGGTTATCGGGCGGAGCCAAGGCTCTGCATGCTCTCACTCTCAGTAGTTCTGGAGGAGAGGTAGCCAGGGTTTCGCTACGAAGTCATGCGCCGTTTTTCTTGGATGCCATATCCCTAGACCCGTGATTAGCCCTAAAGCTCAATTGGAAACACAAGCCTTAAACCCTAAACCTACAGCCTAAACCCTAAACCCTAAACCCTACACCTACAGCTTAAATCCTAAACCCTTAACCCTAAACCCTAAACCCAAGCTCAACTGAGGTTCAAGAAGACGCAGAATTTCATTATGGCATCAGATAAGATGAAGACTCTGCAGGCTCAAATGTCAGGCACCACTGCAACCGTGCCGGGCTCAGATGTAGGAGTTCGAGTTATTCAGTTGTAGTCAGTTATAGTAAGCTAGTAGGAGGAGGGTTTAGGGTTTAGGGTTTAGGGTTTGGGGTTAGGGCTGTAGTAGGAGGAGGAGGAGGAGCAGGAGGAGGAGGAGGAGGAGTAATAGCAGTAGTGGTGTAGGAGGAGGAAAGTGATATCAAATAATAACACTGACCGACACTGAGGTGTGAGGGTTGAAGTTTTCGGATTATATTGGGGTTATATAGGGATAATGGAAAAGAACATGGAAATTGCCATAATATATAGGGGTTAAAATAGGGTATGTATTGGGGTTCTATTAGGATAATGGAAATAAAATAGAAACTACTATAATGTGTTGGAGTTTTGGAGTTGCGAGGTTCTTGTAGGATTGATGGTGCTCGGCTATGTATGTATGCGCTCTTTCAGCATCTATCTGTCATCCCAAGTAGTGCATCCAGATATGTAACATACGCTTAACATAGCCCGTCTGAGATTGCTCAGAGGCTTCATTATTTTTGGGTCATGGTGGGTAAGATTTGGTAGTTTCCCAAAATAAGGGGAGCCCCAATATAGACCCCAAAATACTATAGTCCTTCTTATGGGACCCCCAAAAGGTACCCCTAATCTTGGGCTCCATTTGGGGCATCATTGTGAGTCTACACATAGCGTAATTAAAGCCTGTTGGTTTCCAAGTTCATGCAGCGGGCTTTGGCTTCACAATCTTAAGATACGATGATTCTTGTAAGGCAAGAGACAGCTGTCAGGGCTGTGTGTTGTTTTAGGGATGTATCAAGGAGCAATACGGGGACCAACAGCCGCAGCCCAGATGACAATCAATCAATCACTTTGAAGCAGGCCTTAGGAGGCGCTGCTTTCGTTGGAGGTTTCGGGTTCGGGGTTTAGGGTTTAGGGTTTAGGGTTTAGGGCTAAAACCTTAAACCCTGGATCCCATGACATTCCCATCCAGCATGTATGGTGGTCCCCGCATATACCCTAAAGCAACTGGATCCCATTATAAGCACGACCCATGATGGCGCTGAAGCCTTCGCCAAAGACCCCGTCCCTCATTTCCATTCTCTTTTGCGTTTGATTTTCCTGTTTTGGATCTAGTATTCTTGAACCCCAAACCCCAACCCGACGGATTCCCATATGACCCCTACATAGCAAAGCAAACCTCCTCTAAAAGGACCTGGGGTTTCCATGTCATTGTCCAATTTTTTCCATGTCATTCTCCACTTATTGTAGAAGGACTCTAATGGGGATCCAAACAGGGAACCCCAAGAATATAGTAACATGCGCGTATGCCTGTCGCATTCCTACTATTCTGGGTCCTGTTCCTTTCTCCTCGGGGCGTAGTATCCCCAAACGCTACACCCTAAATAGCAGAATTAGTAGCTTCCATTGCATCTTCCATTTGATGTTCGATTTGATTTGCCGTTCCTTTATGTCCCCATATGATCTACTGATCTACTGTCAAAAGTAGTCTTTGTAAGGGACCATTATTAAGACATAGGAGTCCCCTTGGTTGTTTAGTATAGCCCTAAAGCAAGTCCCTAATAGGGACCTGTGTCCATTCAGCACATAAGAAAATATGGACCGTATCCCATATGTCCCTAAACCCTAAGTGCTAAACCCCAAAACCAAAACCCTAATGTCTCCAAGCCTAATGTCCCAGGTCCCCAAACCCCAGTGTCCCTAAACCCTAATGTCCCTAAACCCTAAACCCTAAGCTCCCTACTATTGGGAGACCAGGTGGCAATCCACGACCACTCCGACAACTCCATCACCATTGGCCACGTGGCGGACTCCACCGCAGCCCTGGGCACCAAGTTGCCCGGCTGATGCGGTACTGCTTCGGGTTCAGGTGAGCTATGGTCTAAACTCCTTGTGATGGTTATATAGGGGATGAGATAGGGGAGCACTATAAGGGAAATTAAGGGAGATGCCAGGAGTTAAGACTACAGCTCATATGGGGCTTATGGGGTTCAATTGGGATTTACAGCGGTTTGTTGGTCTATGTGGTTTGTGGTTAGGGTTTCGGGTATACAGGGTTTGGGGTTTGCTAGGCCAATGTTGGAAGTTTTGGTTATACGAGAACCCAGAGAGGAAGAAAAGTTCAAAGTTTAGATATTACTGCAATAACAGATTGTCGTAGGGCTCACGAAGGTTCCCAATGCATTCAGTTGTTTGGGGCACTACTGGTTGACGGCGTGGTTCTGCTCAACTGCTCAAGTTTTCCGGAAGCTTCGTAGTAGTCTTCAGGATGATGCTATGATATAAGTACGGTTTTGAACAAGGCTACCATACTATGATGCTTTGGTACTATAATTCTACACCGATGCGGATGCTGTGTTACTTTGGTACTACAACACCATATTACAACAACACTATCGTGCAATAATATCTTGTCGTTTACGTACAGCAATTACAGCACGCTGCCTTCACGGTGTTCACAGGCAATGTGTTAAGACTGCAGCTATCGTGGGCGAACATTTTCTTGTTAAGGACGCAAGGCGTCACCATGTCTGTCCTTTTTGCTCACATTTCGTTGTTCCGACCCTAAACCCTAAACCCAAGATCGATTCGCGGAGTTTCAGTTTTCACGTGCATGATGTTTTCAATTAGCGTTGTAGCCTCCGGTTTAAATCCTACACCCCTGATCTGGGTAGTTGTGAAATTAATCCCTCTATAATCCCTACTAGGGAACCCCGTTTAGGGTTTAGGGTTTAGGCTTTCGAATCCCTGCATATACCTAGAGTCCTTTGGGGCCCCCCTTTTTGAGAAGTTCAAATTTTCCTGAGAGATGCCTAAATGGAGCCCCCCGCCAGCCTCCAGCATGCTCACAATAGATTCTGTCTTTAGGGTTTAAGGTTTAAGGGTTCAGGTTTTAGGTTTTAGGGTGTAGGGGTTTCGGGTTTAGGGTTTAGGGACATTAGCGACATAGGGACATTAGAGTTACGGTATAGGGTTTAGGGTAGGGTGCTAGGGTGCTACAGTTGATGTGATGGACTTTGAACCCTGTCGTTTGTCGGATGAGCTTCCCAATTATGGCTTACCATGATGTCTACCCTAAACCCTAAACACCTGAACTCTAAACCCTAAACATCTGAACCCCAAACCCCCAAACCCCCAAACCCCCAAACCCCTAAACCCCTAAACCCTAAACTGCTGACAAGGAATGTGAACGCTTGGAACGGCGTGGCGCTCACCAGAGACCATAAGCCAAACCTCAAGGCCCCCTGGTTTGACAGTTCTGGGGTTCAGGGTTTGGTGGTTTAGGGACTATAGACCTTTAGTAGATAGAATATAGGGGTTATGTTGGAGTTATATAGGGATAATGGAAAAGCAAATGGAGACTACTATTTAGGGTTCAGGAGTTAGGGTTCAGGGTTTAGGGTTGAGGCTTTAGTGGTTTAAGGTTTAGGATTCAGGGTTCAGGGTTTAGTGCTGTAGAGTTTCGTGCTTAGGGCTGTAAGACAGATTGTGGTTTTTGCTTGTCACAGGCTTCTGCGCAGGCTCGCTGACGAGGGAGTGTTGTTTTTCTTCTCCTTGTGGCATCTGCGCTTTGGGCCACAGATAGTCATGGGTCTTTTTTAAAAAAAGTTATGTAGCACTTGACAACTGATGACTGCGATGGTGTTTCGGCGTACACCGCAAGGTAGGTGCGGAATTGGTTCCCAAGAGATCCTGGTCTTGACAGAAGCTCACATGTTGGTTGAATGCGGGCAAAGGACGAAACACCTTAAACCCTAAACCCCCTCGTCGATAAATCTGTCTGGACGACTGCGGCCCCGGTGCTCGTCAAGCCAAAGCCCTAGATTCAAAAAAAGAGACCTTCCGACCATGGGCTACTCTAGCCCAACGTAGTAGAAAATTTGGGGAGAGTAGACTGAATTTAATGGATTACATTAGCCCAAAGTAATTAGTAGACAATCATGGGAAAGTAGACTTTTTTTGGGCCACCCGCTTCCTAGGTTACTCTTGAACCTTAAACCTATATAACCCCCGTATATACCTATTGTGATACAATAGTTTCCACTTTCTTTCCACTATCCTTATATAATCCCAAAATATGCCCTATAAACATGTGGTAGTTTCCATTTTCCTTTCCATTATCCGTATACTATCCTAAACCCTAAGCTCTAACCCCTATATATTGTACCTTAACCCCTCTAACAGGACGAGAAGGCTCGAATCGAGAAGGCTGGAGGACGCGTGGTGTTTGACGGGTGCCCCTGGCGCTACTTAGGGTTTAGGGTCTAGGGTTCAGGGATTAGGGTTCAGGGTTTAGGGTTTAGGGTTTAAGGGCTTAGGATTAAGGGTTAAGGCTTCTGAGTAGTTGGTTCGGGCTGTTCAACCGCATATGCCTTGAAGCTACCCTATTTCAGTCAGGAGTACAGAAAAATATTGGCCTTATAGCCCATCCACGTTTTTCATCCCATTTTGTTGTTTGAGAAGGCTTGAAGTCTACTTGGAAGCTCATAAGGTGGACTTACGAACTTAGAAAAACCCAGGACCCTCTTCCAAACCTGATCCCAACCTGTCAGTTTAGGGTTTAGGGAGCCCCTCAACCCTTAACCCAAACTTCCTGCTGTTGCTATCCTTGTTGTCGGCAGAATCTCTGCATGGACTAACGTGAAAGCCAGGTTACATCCTATGGTCCGTGCGAGCAGGCATTGCAGTTCATTCTGCTATAGATGCTAAGCGCCGAATCCGAAACGCTCAATCCGACCCTCAAACCCAAATCCTAAACCCCCCTAAACCCCAGACCCTAAAGTCTAGACTGCAAGCCCTAGCTTGGATATTCCCATCATCAGCACAGCTGCCAGGTATGCAAACTACCGAGTCTACGCCAAGAACGCCCGTTATCCAGGCCGGTGTTGCACTGTTGAGGGTTTCAGGTTTAGTGTGGACTAAACCCTAAACCCTAAACCGCGTGTTTCAGGTTTAGTGTGGAGCTGGCTGTTCGGGGGCCATGTAAGGAGACAAGTTGTCACAAATCTGGCAATAGCAGCGCCGGTTGACGTGAAAGGGCTGGGAATGTTGGTGGTCATGAGCTATAGCCTAAACTCCTAGTATACCTCTTAATAACCTCTTTAGCATTCCCTATATAATTTCCCATATAACCCCTTTAAGGAGTTTAGATTATAGCTGACATGGCATTAGTGATTGGCAAGTTTGAAGTTCCGTGCAGGTATTCACACGCTGCGGCCGCACATGGGTTTGCAGGTTACGAGTTTGATCCATAGTCATAGTCATCGTCGTCCGTCTGCGGACATCTCTTGACGTAATGTGCTATGCTTACGAACTTATGAGTTTCCACTAATTTGGTTATGATGGTTCTAATTCTTGCATCATACGGTCCTTCGGGGGGTTGTGTTGAGGCTGTTGAAGTTGGTTTCCGCTTGCTTGCTGAGGAGGACTGGGCATGTTGCGGGGGGGTGGCTAGCAGAAGCATGAACAGATTCCAGTTCCAGCACCACTCACCGACAATCTTCTTATAACTCTCGTACAGTATACTCCTCGGTCTACTCTTTGAAATCCAATAGCCTTTTTCTAACTAAATGGGACCCGACATAACAAGAAGAAACTACGAGATGGGTCTCAACGGCAAATGTAGAGCTGTCTGCCAAATAGGCGGGCTTACTTATCGACGCTGCTTGAGGAGTGGCGACTCTACGCGAAAATTGTTACAGGGTTCGTATAGGTATACATGTATATATATATATTTGCATATGTATTGTCTGTAGGGATATATAAGATGTGAAGGAGCTGAATTCTTTGCCTCTGTGCTTGAACCCCAAAGCCCTACCTAAACCCAAAAGTATATAAAATGATGGCCCTAAACCCATAAAACCAGCCATGGATGCGCTAGTTTCACATACTTTTGGGGTCCAGGTAAAGCCCAACTTCCAAACCCACACCCCAAACTCGACTGAACATCTGAAGGTGCAAGCCAGACATGCGAATGCCCACACTCCTCCATTCCAACCTTAGGGTTTTAGGGCTTTAGGGTTTAGGGTTTGGGGTTTAGGGAAAGCAAGGCCTGAACATGTCTCGTTGCCTGGGCGACCTGCTTGGACATGCGGAATGCGGCATGCTGGATGCTCAGTTGGATAGGTTCTGGAGACGAAGTGGGATACTACTAGGTCGCGACACACCAACTGATAAAAAGAATAAATCTCATAGTTTCTCGGAACTACCACTAAAGATCAAGCTAGAGTTACGTTTCGGTGCCTGTTTGACATACGACTATGCAGTAAAAAGCCTAGATAGTGACCATTGTTAGGAAACTGCTACTATAGATAGCACTCGTGTTGCGTAATATGATTACCAAGGGATAAAATGAACACAGCAGTTTGACACTCTTCAGTGAAACCCTATTCATAAATTGAAATCATGTCAATGATCTTGTCAGTGGGGAATAGTGGCGGAAAGGGACAGGCAACTACTAGTGTACGTGCATAGTAGCAACTTAGTAGCATTGCCAGCATTGTCCCCAGAACTTGCTGTTGTCAGCGGGGAATGAAGAAATCCTTGCATAACACAAAACACAAAGCACCCCAACAACTCTACGTACACATCCAAAACACGACCCGAAACCCAAAGCACCTACTCGAAACCCAAAGCACTTACCAGCTCAACACCAACCCCCAAATCCCAAAACCAAAGACACCGAAACATCCAGGCAAAACCCGCAATCCCAAACCCATCACACCATGCACACCTGAACAATCCCTCCTAGCCTCACCTCATCTCAGACAACATCTCCTTAACCAAAACCACCTCGCAAACTCTTTCAGCGGATGTAGTAGAGCCTTATGCATGTGGCTATTCAGCGCCATTCCGCTCGAGTCCGTCTCTGACACTGCCTAGCATTGCTTCGTAGTATTATGGCCAAGGGTGCAAAGTGCTTCTTGCTTCTTGCAGCACTGGCATTGGTGCTCCCCACTGGCTTGGACTTCTTGCAGCCCGAAAAGGTTTCCGCACCTTTGAAGAGGAGCAGAATCGGTAGCAAGAACAGCCGTGCATTCGGGCATTCAGCGGCTTCAAGCTTTCCAACAGGAGAGATGCATGAATTTCCAGTGCGGCTATTGACTACCTTACAAGCAGGCTCGTGGCGAAAGGGCTTGAAAGTTAACTTTAGTGAACATGTCGAATATCTAGGATACCTGAGACCAACAATGTGCCCAAGACAGCTCCAACCCCCAGTCCAGTCTTGTACGGTTTGTAGGTGGGCGTACGCACACGCCGGTGGGTGTGTGGGTGTGTATGCGTGTATGTGTTTGTGTGCAGGTCTCCTTGCCATCGCCTTGATAGTGATGCCTGTGCAAAGCGTCAGCGCCGAAGATTGCTTCTGGGGCAACCAAGCAGGTGAGGGCGCCTTTGCTGGTTCGCTCAGCGGGTTCGGTGTGACTACTGGGGCTATGCTAACGGCAGCAGCCTTGACAAATCCAATCACAACAGCCGCGCTAGCAACAGGCGTGGCGTGGGGAACCTTTCTCGGGGGTATGAACGGCTACTTCGACGGCCAAGCAACCCCGAGTTGCAATGAGGCTGCAAAAGCTGGGTCTGATGCAGGATGGGCGGCCGCAGCAGTTGGAACAGGCGTGGGCCAGATTGCTGCGGGCAAAGTCGTCCCTGCACGTTAGTGAGGACTTAACTCGTTTTGATCTTGGCTGCTGTTCCCCATTATCTTCCCTGGCACTCATCACTGCAGCCTGATGAGACCAGACACGCTGCGCTGCAGTTGCCAGTTGTACAGTTGGACATTCAAAACACTGGCATCTTCTGGCCGAGCTTGTGCGAGCAGGAAAAGTGAGCCAGTGTGGTGGCAAAGGATTGACGCTGTAGCTTAAACACGACACCGAACTTTCCAAGCTTCGCCCCGGGTTTAGTCCAGGTTCCAATTTTGCCTCACGAGCCCCTTTTCTTTGTTTTTCTATTGAGGGCTAGGTAACAGCAGTTTCCACGTCATTTTCCGTTTTCTCTTCCGCTTGATTCTCCATTATGGTAGCCCGGAAGGCTAAGCCCTAAACCCAAAACCCTACATAGCCCACATATAGGTAGTTCCTATATGGTAGTTAATCGAAATTGCTGTTCCCAAATTTGCCATTCTGGAGCATAACTTCCCCTGCATTTTTTCTTCTAGACCTACAGGAACCTTAATTCATGTCCCCAAACCCCTTCAGATCAACCCCATATCCCAACGCTAGACCCCAAACCCGGATCCCAAAATAGTAGCTTCCATTTTCTTTCCATCATCCTTATATGGTAGTTTCCCAAAATAAAGGCCACCTAATATAGACCCCAATATATCATAACCCTTATTATAGGGACCTCCAAAAAGATACCCCTAATTTTTGGAAACCTTCTCATATTGCACCCTACATCCCCTATGTAACTACGAAATATCTCCTGGCAGAACCAGTGCCCTGCCCAAGTTCATGCGAGCTGGTTATTGGGGCATGATATCCCCAAACGCTACTTAATCCGCATATGACTCCCATACATCCCTGTATAATGCCTACATGGCCCCTATGTACCCCTCCAAGAGACCCAACGCCATAAGTCTTGAACACTGAAACCTTAAACCCCTAAGGACCAAAGGACCTTGAGCCCAAGGTCATGCGAGCCCTCCAAAGGACCCTAAACCCAAAATCTTCAACATTGAACCCTAAAGACCTATGGACCAAAGGACTTTGAACTTAGGGTTTAGGGTTTAGGGTTCCTAAACACCTACGGGCCAAAGGACTTTGAACTTAGGGTTTAGGGTAGGGTTCCTAA